GTATTTGTGAAATCTGCGTTAATTTTCATCCGGTACGAATGTAAAGTTCGTCAAACCGGGCAAATTCTGTCAGTCGCTTTAACCAATTTCACGTTCGGTATTACCTCCGCTCGGGCGTCTCGTACGAGAGGTGAAAATAAAAGTACGGAGAGAATAGGAGAAAAACGCGTTGTCAAACTGTTGCAAACGAATCGCTCGGAATCACCGACGCGGCGCGTCGCATGAAAAGCGAATAAAGAGGAGAAAAAACAGAGGAAACCCTAATACATCATATCTTATCCGAGCGTGTGCGTATGAAACTGGAGTTCTTTGATAAATGACCGTCGCACCGCGTCGAATGAAATAAATATATAAAGAAATTGAAGGGAAAAGAGAAGTACGTTCGCTGATAACGAGGCTCGGTTTATCTTTCCCATCGTCGTTTCCGCTCGCATCTCGGAATTACCTATTAACCGAGGAGTAACCATTTCATCAGTCGGTGTCCTTCGCCTTCAATTTCATTCTCTTTCGCTTTCGCGTTTATCCGACGACTTTCCATATTTTGTTGCCGGGCGGTTCAAGGGATGCGGCGCGAGGGTTGAATTGCGGGACAGGCCAAATGGAAACGGCGCAAGGAACCCGTGTAATGAAATTCCCTAGTCGGTCTCCGCCCGTTTATTACTCGCTAATGACTGGCTATTTCGTTTGTTCGCGACAGTAATTGTATCGAGCAAATGGAAAATGGCACGCACGACGAGCGTGCATTTTGGGATGATATCTCACCGTCGGGCATGCCGTGACGGTCTGATTAATGGTACAACGTTTGTATCGCTCTTGTTAAGATGAATTAAGATGCAATGATACCCATTTACATTCCATAATCCCAGCTGTCTGAAACTGATGGGCGTATTTAAGTGGAATTCAGCTGAACAAAGAGAAGATGAATAGCATTGTAAATACGAAAACGCTAATCTTGTTGCTTGATTTTATTTCCGTGACGTCTGAAAAGTCTCCGGGTTGTTGCACGGTGTTGAACCGTGTACAATTTTATGGGGTTGGTCGGGGGTAAGGATAACTCGTTCCGAGTCATTTCTCTTCGAGGGCGAAGGCGACGACACGACGACGCCAGACAGTTTCGCCAGTTCCGTTACTTTCGGTGCACAAACCAGGCTTCAAGAGAGTACGTATTTTTCGGTTCAGCTAACACGGAGCGTGGGATAAATTTCAAACGGTGTGAAGAAACATTTCCTTTAACTCTTTCTCTTCCATTCATAGCTGTTTAATTTTAAATCATGATTCATACTCAGGAGTTACTATTCTGTACTTCATCTAATTCATAACTGCATAGTGCGTAGGTTTCGTAGGCAGTTCGACGTACAATATGCATGATGCGTATAAACTTAGCAGTAAAATAGAGTGTTGTCTTCGATACGATAATACTTAGTGTCGTGTCATTAACTATTGAAACAGTAGAGTTTTTACTTAGGGACTGTAAAAGATTGCGGACCTTACTACTGATTTCTTTATAAGATTTACACGCCGGCAGCTGCTTTGCATCTTTATTAAAGCCAAGAGATTTACTGAATTACTCGTATATATTTCGCCTTACAACGTGTGGCCACAGTATTAATAAATTACACAGCCGGAGTCTAACAAGCTTTCGCGGAACACATAAACGTGACCGTAACAGATTAAGGAAATTAAACGCGTCGCGTTGCGAATAGAAACTAATGACGATTGTAAAAAAAAAAAGACTAAGAGAAATTCTCTGATCGCTCCGTGAGGACTCGGCGTTGAAACAACGGTCGACGATTCGTTTGAAAAATGAGACGCACTTTTTTTCAACGACAGCGCAATACATTGGAACTGGGTCGCAGTACGCGGGCACATAAACTATTGCGAAAAAACTTGTATAACGTGCACGCGTGTTTCGACACTTTTTTTTCATCAAAATTCGGCCCGTGAATTACGAGGGAAATACAAGATGCTAAAGAGTATAAGAGTAAAACGGCATGAAATGTGAAACAACGTGTCTAGCGGTCGTATGAGTCCGAAAATGTAGATAAAGAGACTGTGAATGAAAAATGTGCGTCGAATTTATGGCCGTACTTACGCGGCTAAAAAAAGCGTCCTCAATTTATTTCCCCGTATAAAAATTTATATGGCAGCTGGATCGAAAACCATCTTATTTTTCACGCGGGACCAGCTCGATACAGAATTGCCGTAAACCTTACAAAACGTTTTGGGAATATGTGCACACCCGACCGTGCATGAGGGGCTATTTCGCTAAATCTACCACGGGCACTGTAATCTCTCTCCAGATATCGCATAAAAGAAAAGTGCATACAGTGGTTACTCATGTTTATATCGTTTAAAAATCCTGGCCTCTTATAAAAATACGCATTACACTTATAATGTGCAATCATTTATTGATAGTGATATTGAAAAATTATATTTGATGCATTTGAGTGTTTCCACTGAAGGTAGCACGATTTTGAAGTTTGTAACCAGTTTCGAGGGAACACGCGTGGTGGAAGTTACCGGAGGCAGATGTAATACTTTCTCCGTGTTCGCTGTAATATATGTCTGACAATAGACTGCTCTTTCCCCTTGCGTTCCGTAATAGGAACCCGTCGCATAGCGTCGTAACTTTTCGTATCTCGCGGCGAAACTTTACGTCGCCCAGCTACTTTGAAAAAGTGCTCTTGCCACAGGGCCTTTCTCGTTATTATCAAAACGTTTTCGTATTCCTCGTATATAAAATTTTTAAAAGAATTCTCTGCGCGGAGTTCGCGAGATTTCATGAGGCTGTCGTGTGTCGCGAAGGTCCTCGGAATCATCCCGCACGTATAGTTGATTAATGCAACGGCCCTGAACGTTTCGACTTATATTAATTTGCATATATTATGACGGCAGGCGAGCGAGCCTAGGTTGTTAAAAATGTCGAAGGGTGTTTCGATGGAAGGGCCTGATTACGCTTGTACCTTTTGAAGCTGCTCGACCCACTTTCGATGTTATTCGCAAGATGCTAAAGTGGCTCTGATTAATTAGCTTCCAGGCGGAAGGAAAAAAATATGTATTTGAAAAAGTCGTCCCGCTTTCTCAATTGCGATAAGTAAATCTATCGCACGCGATGCAAATGGTCTTCTGGCCAATTTTCCAATTTCAGAACATCCGACACTCGGTGCATCCTAATAGAGTAACCGAAAACGAAATGGTAAAATATGAATATAGCTTAACGAGTATTTTTCCTCCGTTGGAAAACGTGCATCGAATCGGAGAAGCTTGATTTATCAGGGAACGCCGTCGCTGTGGACAGGAACTAACGCGGTGCCGCTTCCACTATCTTAGATTAATTTATCGCATAACCGACGAGCGATCATTTTTTCTCGTTCTTGAAAAATCGCTGCGACCCCTTGCAACTCGCTCGTTCCCGCGAGAATACGTCTGTTTTTACTGTGTTACGATTTTCAAGGTAAGAAAAAAAAAACTCTTTGTTCCTTTGTATCCTCGCGAAACGATATCCATCTGTGATCCGATATTCATTTTTCATCTTCCTCAGCGATATTTCCCTCAATATTTTATCGTCCGATACTTTCTTCTAGTGACAGATGGAAATACTTTTTGTTCCTTCCTCCTGTCCGACCACATATCGTCCTATTTCGCTTTCGCCGAACACGTGAATACTCTGGTCTATCTACGTCCACATCTCCAGGCTGAATCTTCGCAGATACATTCTAATTTGCTGTCATTTCGGATGGACGTAAATCAAGACCAATTTGGCGTAATTCAATTTATTATTAACTGGTCACACGCACGATGTATCCCACTGCGACTATAAATAACTGCGAATCGTAATCGCGATCGTATTTTACCCAAAGGGAGCGTAATCCCAGACTCCCAAACTTAAATGGCAGTTGCCAGTTACCATCAATATCTCTAATCCTGATTAATTTTTAACGTAATGCTACATTGTGTCAAGCTTTGCCGTTTGAACGACCGGCATTTCACTCGAAGCAATTGTACGTAATAATTCAATGAACAAAATATTTTATAAAAAGCGGATTAAATGTTTTTATAAAATTCACTCTTGCTTTATGAGTTCTCGGTTTACACAAGCAAAACGTTCAGTGTATTCTGTTTCCAAGGTGTACGTACACTTTTTCGTTTCACTGAGACCATTTTCTTGCTGCGAGAACAGTGGGACACTTGATATCGTTTAGAGCAGCCATTTGATTCCCCTGTGTGTTTCAATAGTACTCCACTGATACAAATCCGCATCGCTGTTGCGGTAACCATTGCAAAACACCAGAACGACACGTACAGTAACGTTGTACATATACTTCTCACGTTTGTGCCGGGATCAAATCAATGCCGGGATCATTATCGGCCGAAACTATCGATGCATTCGCTTGGTCGCGTCTCGCGTCAGTATCGACGGCAATTTCGTAAGACAAGTCGATCGAAGGAAGCCAGGCCGTGGGACTTGAACTGGGGTGGACGAACAAAAAGGGTTAGATATCGGCACGGACGAATGCCCGCACCGGATCGAGATAACGAAGGGGTCCCGACTGGTATGATCGATACCGCCAGTGCAGGTCGATTGGCAGTGACCCAGTTTCACGGCAACGAAATTTCACCGTCGCCGCGGTATTTCGAATTTATTTTTCGTACCACCGGCCTAGCCCGAAGATTTCGCCAAGCCCCTAATTACTCGGTCAACGCTAAGGCGATTTCGTCCACGTCGTCGAGATATTTCCGACGACACACTTTTTATCACAAATATTGTTTCTCTTGTTATTTTATTTCTACTATCTCATATTCCGCATGCATTGCAACGTCTGATCGACTGTGTTCTACTTTCATACCGCGGGCGACTATGTAAACAGTCGACGTTCCTTCTGTTTTTCCATCCACTGGATGTCTTATGTATAACCATGCGACAAATGTTGCGTTGATACAGCGAGCGAAACAATCTATGCCAAGATGATTGAAATGTGCATAACCGCGTGTGATTGCAGGTGCGTTCGAGGTCGTTGACCCAGTTGGACGCTCTGGGCAGCAGAATGCTGGATACGGGGGAACACCATTTGGAGGGTGCTCCCTCGCCGCCGCAGCCTCAGCATCTTCATCATCACTACCAACCTCAGCAGCTACTGCACCACCCCCAAAATGTCGAAAGTAATCCGCGTTTCCTTGTGCCGACCGCACCGTCGATCGACAGTGCCCATCAGAACCGTACCAGACACAAGCTTTCGCGGTCACAGGTCAGTCGAACTTCAAATTATTAAAATCACAGATTTCAAACAGTTCCCCGATCGATTTTTAAATACGAAGAGGATTAGGCATTTCGTCGACTCGAGGCAATCGAAAAATAATTTTTATTTAACAACGTGATGCACGGGGTCGAAACATGGGACGCGGGGATAGTGCCAAATCGAGGGAATGACAATCAAAAGCTGTCCTAATTTTAGGTGTAGATACCGCGAGCTTACGTAACCTTTACGTTCCACCGCTGTTGTTTCACCGATCAATAACAGCAAACAATTCTGTACTCGTCAGACAAGAGATTAATCTTACTGCACGTCTGTAAGAATACGTGTACTACTACAGCTCGCGAGATAGTTCGATCAAACTTTCAGCAAACGCAATTCCGACGTTAAATTCAACACATTAACACGGTATTGTTTTATTTCGAATTATCGCAAGCTTCGCATACCAAGCGATCTTCACATATAACTGTTACTTTATGATGTAAAACATCACGTGGATTGAATTTATGAGAGAATTCTTTCTTATATTTCGCTCGTTTCGTTCAAAGGAAAACAAAGCGTACGTGAATAACGAGCGAAAACGATCCAAAGATTTGTTATGACAATTGAGAACAGAAATGGAGACAAGTCGGAATTTTTCTGTCGCGGGACGATATGAAAGGCGTACGAAAAACGTGAGAAAGCCGGCTGCTTCGCGAAAAGCTGAAGAGACTTACATTCGATCCTTTAAGGGTTTTAGCCGCGCGGCAATGCTTTCTCCAGGTCTTTCTGCAACGCGACGTGGTGGAAACGGCAACGGAATAAGGAAAGATCTTGTTATCCGGAGTAACGCGTCCCGTGACAGTGAAATCGCCAACAAATCCAAGCTCGAAACTGAACTTCTATTTAAATCTGTGTGATGCTGATACACTGCATCGGTGGGACAATAAAACTGTAATTGAAACGTCGATGGGTCTCCCTTTTCGATTTTCCAAGAAGATGAACGGTTTCATTTATAGAATCGAAAGAAGGCATACGTTCTCTCGAGAAGTAGAGCTTAAATCTGTTTCTTATTTTCACTACATTCATCGAAAATCCTATTAATACTATACATTAACAATTATAATTAAATTTCTGCGCGATTACAACGAACTTCACGAAGGATACAAATGGAGTGAATTAAAACCGAGCTCTTCTCGGGGGACGTAAAAGAGGGTCGAGACAAAGTACTAAATAAGTAGCAGACGCAACAAAAAGGACGGCGAAGAGAATTAAAGGCAAGGCGTGATGGTAAATTAAATCACGCACCTCCGCTCGAGTAAATGGGAGGAAAAAAAAATTAAGGGATCAGAAGACGTAGTAACAATTAATTCTGCAACGTCGGAGAGGACTCGTCGCCGAAGATAAAATGGCTCGTAATCGTCGGGAATTACGCAGGGAAAATGCCTCGCGAGACACTTTACTTTATCGTCTTAGTCCCATCGCGAGGTAACGAGTGTGAGACGATCGCATCGCCTCGTCTCGTATCTAAGTACTGGAAACTGCAATTTGAATTGCTAAGCGATCGATCGCGGTCAAACACCTGCCACCCTGTACCGATGTCCTGCTGCTCTTCTGTAATCCCCGCTGGACAGAGGATTCCCCTCGATGAAGCTATATGTACAGCGAAACGACAAACGGGGGGTGGAAATTCGGTTTAGAGCCTCGTTCTCGAACGAATCTGGCAATTGTAAGAGAAATTGATACGATTTCGCGAGCTCGCTTGAGCGAGAAACGAATATTGCGATAATAACGATTAAATGATACGAGAAACATTGAAACATATTTGAACCAGAACAGCGAGGCAATTTATAGTAATAATTTCAACCAACATAGTCAACTATAATTTACTTATACAAAAGATCGTATTATTCATGTTTGAAAGACACTCCTTAAGAATGCTTTTCGCTGACACAATTCGAGAAGATTGCACAGTTTTTTGTAAAGAAATTGAAAAGAGAATTACCAATGTTCACCGGGAAGTACATAGTTCATTTGAAGGAGAACGGAGGTCTTCCTGTAGCTTTATTATTAACTATCGCGGGATCTCATCAAAAGAAAGTGGCCATTCGTCGACGATGGGGCGAACGCGACAAAAGGGTCGCAGCGACATTATGCAAACGTCTCGCTGTCCGTTTTACGCGATAAACCGTGATCCGGGGGGTGAAATATCGGGAAACAGCACCGCGGATAGCTTGCAGGGAAATTGGAACGTTTAACCATGTATGCGCGTATGTACTACGTACGTCCCGCGTACGTAGGTTCGACGTTGCGTCGCGTCGAATTTCGCAACAGTAGAAGAATCGATATTACAAACGTTGCATGTTAAACAACGTCGTTCTTGTTTCCAATTATGTAAAACAGTCGGGATAATTGCGTGGAGGGGAAATTGCGTTTTAACGTATATAAAAGTGTACACCGTGCTCGCCTAACGACTGCAAATCGGACGAGAGCTACTCTTTCCTATAGCTTCAAATTACACCGTCTACCCGTTTATTCAAGGGAAGTATTATAGGTGATCTTAAATTTCATGCACGTTGTGTAAACCAGAGGTTTATACATGTAAATAATACAGGATACATATATACGTGAATACAAATTTATGATAAGGTCTGGAACTATTTCTATTCGAGATGGATGCTTATCGTTAATTCTCATTGAAACACTGATAAGTGGTGATACGATATGATCGAATGAAAGAGCATCGGGGTGGTCGTCCGAAGTGGAACAAGAAAGGAGCAGCACAAAAAGAGGGGATGATCGATTTCAGGCAATGAAACAGCCAGTTGGACTCCATCGATGGCCAATTTCCTACGATTGCCCCCCCATTATCGTTCCGGGGGTGCCGATCGTATCACCGCGCCAGGAATCCCTTACCTTATCCGAATTTTTGAAAGAAACTTTGATTGGACGTAACGAGCGCGTTTGTACCTTTTTGTCACGAGCCGCGTATTTATTTTTACAGCCCGGAATCCCGCGGGAGCGTTCCCTAAGCAGTCTGCCTCGAATCGATAATATGCAAACGTTCCCCACTCGCGATTATCGATTTAAGCCTTAAGGTTTGGCGACCGAATTCGTCGTCGACGCGTGAAATTCGCGAAGAGCGGAATAAAGAAGGATTTTAATCGCAGCTGAAGAAATCTTGTTAAAAGAAAGGAAGGAAGTGATAAAGTTTACAAAGAGTTTCTGCAACGGCAAAATTTTTTTCACTTGACCGAAGGATTTCGAAGCGAAAGGTGTTAACGATCAAACTTGAACCTCGTTTGGAAAACGGGTGGCGGGAGGAAAAGGAAAATGGGATTATCTCCAGATGGGATTTTTGTTGGGAAATTCTAGTTGGCTTTATTCGGACTCATTCTACTCGACCGCTTGTGCCAGCTGCCACTTGACCAAGTCTCGTTGTACCTCCGTATATGTGCATACATATTGTACATATTAGATTCTTGTCGGGAACGGGGAGTAGTTTCGTGGCATCGTTCCCATCGTGGCAAATTAATTAAACAGCGAAGGACGTCGGGGATTATTTTACGCGAACACGTACCGGATAGGTAGAACTATGAGCCGTGAGAGTCGTTTGCTGCAATTGTTGGTTCAAATATTTGCGGGCACGACTTTGCACCCTGTGTTTCCAAACGGAGCGTGAAATTCCGATGAGAGACGAACGCATGAGGAAATATTTGTCAAAGCTACACACTCAAGGAATCCTGCAAAGCGACGCGTCTCGCGTCTTTGAAACCAGTTTTGTAAGCTGCGACATTGGAGCGTCGGTGAAATTTTCCGTCACGCCGTCGTATTTGAAACTCGACGCGATGAAAAAGGAGAAAGGAAAACGGGACCCGGATCGGTTAAATGGCGATGAGAAAAAAATACGAGCGACAATAAAAGGAACGATTGTAAAGCTAAGTGACAGAGAGAAGCTCGCGGCGAATAAACGCGATCCATTTTCCGTGTGCCAGCCAACGGGTTCATAAATAAAAGCTCTTTATTACCTGTCACCCCATGTATAATAGTCGCTCAGTATGGTGAAGCCTTCGTCGAATAGGCACTTAACGTTACCGCTACGTGTATCAGCTCCGCTGAAAATGCAGAATTCCATCGTTGGACACAATGGGTAGTATCAAACCCGAGGCATACCTTTCATTGTTGCGATCTAATTTATCGAAACAATGATTAAAAAGGAAAAATCATACTTACGTAGGAGAAATCTTTATTTTCACTGTACGTACGTACCAGCTTCCCGTGACAGATATTGACATACTTTCGAATATATTAAGAATTTTTCAATCGTATAGAAAGATGAAGAATTGAGGAAGAATTTTCCCCTGTGGATTGAAAATTCAGATTTCCAGGCAAATATTTGGGAAGGGAAAACGATTGCGGTCGTTACGTAAGTCGAAAAGTTCCGGGGTTCCCTTCGTGCACAGCTGCCAAATTTGGCACCGACCTCTGCACCATTCAGGAGTTTCAAGTTATCGTACAGATGTAATCCTGAGTTGAATACTCCCTACCGGAAACTCTTGGTCCAAAACTCGCGGACCCGCGACCTTCCCTCTGTACCTTCACTCTCTGAATGGTTGTCAGCGTCTGCCAAAACTCTTGTAAATCAATTCTTCAGGTATCCAGCAGCGAGTATTTCAGCGTCAGTTTCGACTTGTCCGATGACTTCGGCGCCCTGGACCGTGATGAGTTTCTGCCTGCTGCTAAGGGTGCTTCTTTGGCGTAAGTTTACTTAATTACTTTACCCTCGATACGTACGTATCTTAGAAACTTTTACTCGTCAAGTTTCGTTTAATTGTTACGATTTAAGCAGAATAAATCGGAAATGCTACGATTTTACATGTGGAGTAATTTTTCCTGTCTCTTTGCGAGTCTGATTTCACGTTATCACGAAGCACCGAAATGCCACGAGCGTGTCACGGGCAAATGAAATTTTGAACGATTTACGTGCTCGTAAATAGCGGTGGTAATTTCGTAGAATTCTTGCCGCGGTTGGGGAATGAAAAGCGCGAATTTAACGCCGCACCGGCCTCGAAACGAGACCGCGGCGCGTCCCTATGAGCCCGTCACGTTGCTTAATAATCGGTACTAAATAATGAGTAATACCTGAAACGGTCCCGGGTGGGCCAACTCCCTCGAGGTAATCTTATCAAAGTTGTTCGCTCTTTATGGGCATTAGAACCTCGATGTATCGCGCCCGAACCAGATGGTACTTAGGCACTTTCGCGTCAGGGATTTGCCAAGAGGCCATTACGCGGAGCCCCGGTTCCCCTCTCGTTATTGTTGCTTTCAAAACGAAGGCATCCGACCTATGTATCTAACTTCGTAAAACGATATCGTATAAAACTTTTCATTATTGATACATATTGTCTCTCACAAAACATTCTATGATAGCACTTCAATTAATAAGAGCCTATTTTTTAAATTAACCCTTGCTGTGTAAAGGTGGATTATTTGAGACCAGCAAAAGTTCAGCTTTTTTCTATGTATCATTCTAACAGAGGAAACGTGGAAACAAACGACCCACCTTTACAGAATTAGTTACCATTTAAACAGTGTGAGTTACGTGACTTAGAAAATAAGTGCGATTCAAGACGTTTATATGAATTCTTTTATTTCCAAGGTAAACGTAAGTTAACACAGGGCAAACTTTTTGTAACAGGGACGTGCTTAACGCGGCTTGCGAAAGACGGGGGATCGATATGTCACGAATCGAGGTGTTTGATGGCTTCTCGACACCATTGCCGATCCTCACGACCGATACCGCGAGCCTCGGTGGGAAGCACTTGCGAATAACAGGTAACCACATCATTGACGTTATAGAGCTTTTTCCCTGTTACCGATGTTTGTAATCCGCTCTTGGAATACTAAAACTCACGCAGTCGTGACTGGTATAACGATTAAAAGAAACGGTGAACGATGTGATCGGATGGAAAGTTGGTTTGCTATCGCGAAAGTTCGCTTGTACAAGCACTGGGACGTTGGTACGCTCTGCGATCTTCACTTGCAAGTTGAACGTAACGATCAGGCTGTTCAGGTTAACGTAGTTATGTAGCATGTAATTCATGCGAAACTAATGATCGATAAGTTCGAGCCAGTTTAATCGATGTTCGACCATGCAACGTGGTAATGAGTTAAGCAGTTGAAATAGTAGTTGACCATTTGTTACGAACGTGATCATAAATGGATCACAGAATGGGAAAACTATATTTTGCATGACCTATTTATCATATTTTCGAATCGGTTCGTTTTTGCTTATAGGAATAATGTATGATTTACTATACGAGTAATAAATATACGTAAGCGATGACTAACGTGTGTTTAGTGAGCGAAGCTTGATCGTTTGCTCTGTCTGACCGCAACTAGGTCATACTACTTAAACCTCGCGCTAATATCTTTTATACTACTGGCGGAGGTATATAATTTCTATGGTCAAGTTCTGTTATTATTCTTAGGAAATTGTGCTGAGACAGTAATGGTCGAACCGTTTCAGGTAGAAATATATTTCAGAGGCCATTCGCGTAATCCCTGTAATAAATATCGTACGGTCGGATTAACAAAAATTGTCCTCCACGTAGCCAAAATGTTTGCCCGACTTAAACGTATTTCTTTTATATTGTTTAACCGAGAGAGAACGCGTCGGTCGGAGGGAAAATGTATACGAAAAAATTCGCAACAATTTATTAGTCAGAAGTGTATAAAAGCCAGCTGCGCACCGGTGTCGCTCGTTTGTTTTAAATCGACATTTTTGTTCCCGCCCGCACGCGATTGAAACGAGAGATTGCCGAGGGAGGAAAAAAACGATCCCGATGATGGAAATTATTTATATCTAGTTTTGCCATTCCGGGCCGACTCGAAGCGGCGGTGTGAAATCGATTTCAAAAATGTCCGCGATTCCTATCGGCCGTACCAGCGTAAAACACGATACGAAATTCGTTTGCGATAGTGTAAGCGAATAAAAAGAGAGGTGAAGTCGTATCACGCGACGGACCGCGGACTGTATAGCATCTGAAACTGTACGTACAAGGCTTATTCGCGGACGTTCATTAATTTGACGCCCTTGGAGGAGAAGGAGCGCAAACTAAAAACGGTTCACGCGAAGCCGCTGCTCGATGGACTCCGCCTTCGTGTATAGTTTCTCATCGTTGCAGCGACTCGTGTCTATAAGTCTACTTGCGACAAGGATACTTCTAGACGAAGTAGGCCTGCGGCAAAACCTATAGAAGGTATCCAATTTACTTTTATTCTCCGACGTTCCAAACAAACTTCTCTTCGCACGAGCAGAAGTCGGTCGAAGTAAACTTTCCATACGATTTTACACGCGTTGTAGAAGTTATCTATGATCTCAATAATTTTATTAAATATCGCTTCCTGTTTATTCGGAATACAAACATTTCTTCGTTTTTTAAAATGAATAAGGCCGAAGTATTTTGAAAAGGAACGACTGCTTACGCATCGAGGGGCTTTGTGAGGTATCGGTAAATATGAATGGATCCTCGATAAGGGAAGATATTTGACTCAATTAATTGCATCTTGCTTCGAGAAAGGATGCGTGCGTCAGAGCGTCACAATGCAATTATCTAAGTCGATGCAGGCGGAAACTTCTGCTAAATTCTTGTTGCCCCAAATGAATAATTACTCTGATAAGAGGGAAGAAATTCTATTATTTCTGCTACCTCTTGCCATCGAGAGTAAAGCTCAAACATAAAAGAGAAAAATATTTAAATTCACCTCTATACTGAATTAAGGTCCGCCTTAAAAAGGTATTAAAGTTATTTTTAGAAGCACGAATGTGACGAATTTAGGATAACCTTGGACCTTGAAGTTCTCAAGGGAAGAAATACATATCGGGTCTGTGACGTAAACCGTTTTAATGCGTGAACAGGCCTCACGCAATTGTTTTCACCGACTTTAGATGAATATCGGTCTTAATAGTTACTTCCAGCAATCACCGCGCTTATAATGAATAAATCGTAAAGAGGGGAAAAAACGCACGATCAGATGAATGTTTAAGCATTAATAGTAATCGTTCGTATTCAGGCTACTAGGCGAAGCAGTCACGAACATTGATAACGCTGTCTGTCTCGATTGAAATAAACTTTACCATCTTTCCATATAAAAATACGATTCTCCAGATTCTGGATGTATCTATCAATCACAGATATCAATTGCACTGTCTCCGTTGACCAATGAAAAGATTTTTTTTATGATTCCATTATCGACTTGTAACGACAGACAATACTGGAAAGACAGTGGCAAATTTCATTCTGTTTGTCATAGAAAGCTTACCTAGTGAACAAAGGGAAACTATTCATTTTCTGTTCTAGTTAAGGACAACGACAAATCGAACTCGAAATCGCCGAGCCAGAAGGGTAGCCAATGTGTCGCACTGAGGAAAACAGGCGGGGTAAGATATCAGTCTAACTGTACAAGCATTAAAAGTAGAGATAGGGAGAAAGAAAGAAACGGAAGATTACTGTTTAATTCCTCTAATGGAACCTTGAACACCTTTCGCCTTCCAAAAGCGGTTAAAAAGAGAGAGTCGAGAACCGATAGACGGAACAGTCCTCTTCTCGCCGTCACCTTCGCTCATCTCATTCCCGAGAGTGTCGAGACTCCTCTTCAACGCTTTCCCCTCCCACCTTGTTCCGTTTTATTGACGCGGATTTTTCTTCTTTTAATTAACGAGAAATACTGCTGCGCAGGAAGTTCAAAAAGCGAGTCAAGCGAATCGTTTGCCAGCTGATTCCCTAATTCTCCGAAGGGGGGAGGGGGCGCGATATTAGGGGCTGATGGCTCATTGTGCGCCACAAGCAGCTGACACATATCCTCGCCCGTAATCTTGATTCGAAGCCGAGCACTGGCTGTAATAATCGTAGACAATGCGATGACATCGACGGATATTTCGTGAACCTTGACCCAGGAACGCTCGGGTCGGAGGCAAACTCCGAAATTAGTCTCAACCAATGACAAACAATGCCCGTGATCGATATTAATCCTCCTATTACTCAGGCATCCAAGTTCGATAATGACTTATTGCAACGCGGCTGGGAACAATAAATGCGAATCCTTCGTCAGCTTCCTGCGAATGAGGGAATGTCAGGTTCCCGTATGACGAACGTTTAAATAACTCGACTGAATTCGCTGATAAAATCTCGTTTCGTTGTTCGGTGATTAAAATTCCCTACCTGCAGAGAACGCAATAAACAGTATCTTCCGTACCGTATCCTCTTCATTCTCTTCGCCAGAAATGACCGTTATCTTCGTCATTGTTGCAAGTTTCCTCGCTTAGAGAGCAATCACTTTGCGCCGCGATAGAACATCTGTACTTTACATTGAAGATTTACTGGATGAAACCGCGAACGCTCCGGAGATTACCTCCATGTTAGGGAACAATATAACTTGTCTGATTCATCACGGACTATGACTATTATGCCCTGTTCGATCGCAAGATCCTTTATGAATCACATCATTTCAACGAATTTCACGTCACAAACGCTATTTGTTAAGGATGTATAGGCTATATACTTAAACAATGCTGGCATGTTGAATTTGTTATTATTGATTCCTATTACTAGTAAAAAGCTACCTGCAAAATTTTAAATCAATTCATGGCTTTTTTGAAAAATTATAGT